GGACGAGGCAGCGTCAAAACCATGTTCACACGCGTACACCAAAGGCTTCACTTTTGTCCCTGCACTAGAGCCACAGCCTGACTCTGAATGTCAGGTGGAGCAGTGGTTTAAAAAACCCCAGCACAGTAAGTAAACCATGAAGAATCCTAAAGCCAGAAGTAAAAAGAGCCCCAGAATTCCAAACCTCTTTAAATGTCCTGCCCCAGGGAATACCTGAACCTGACTGATGCTGCTGAACCCCACCTCCTTCCGCATTTTCCTAAACAGGGCTTCCTTGTTTAATACAAAGTGAACTTTTATAACATCAGACTCACCCAAATCCAAAACGCTATGAACATCTGACACACTAGTAGTAGATTTAGCTCAGTTGCAGGTTCATGACAATGTAAAATATTAGAAGGTGAAAGGAAAGGCCAGTTAGTGAGCACCTACCTGTGTGTCAGCTTCATATACATGATTGCATTTCCTCCTCCCACTACCCTAAACGCTGGGTGCTATTATTAGCATTTTAGGAACGAGGCAATTGAGCCTTAGAGCTGAAGTAACTTGGCTAAGTTCACAGCCAGTGTAAGAAGGGCGAAGTCAGGGCTGTTTTGACTCCAAAGCCCATGTCCTTCCATTAAAATGCAATGTTCCCATCTCAAGCACTTGGTTTTAGAAAATGCATTCTATAATGAACAAATTGAATCTGGGAAGTATGGAACTCTAAGAATTCAAAACATTTCAACAAAGAAATGATGCTGTAAAAGCCTATCTCAAAGGACACTAGAAGCCTCTCTATTCTGAGTGCCCCCTACTTACGGGGTGTTGCAAATGACTGCACCCTTTCCCAGAGAGAACCGAACCACCAGCTTAACCCACAGCGGGCCCCTCCTTCCATTCATGGGCAACACTCCTCACGTGACCAGTGTTTATCAGGCCCTTTAACCTCCGGGCACAGATTTCCCTCCTCCCTGCTCAATCCTACATGTGGCTGACACTTCCCACTGATAGCTCTAGTCCTTCCCTGCCCACCTTTTCCACACCCCAAGTTCAGGCACCCTCCCCTCTGGCCTGTACATCTGCAGAATCCTAACCTCAGAGGGTTTCCAGGTTCCAACCACCCTCTCTGTGGCTGCAGGAGTTACCACCAAAATCGAAGAGCGCGGGTTACAAAACCCATCTGGTCCCAAACCTTGGGACCACGACATTCAGGGCTCCACTGAACCTGCTCCCCCTGCCTTTCCAGACTCAGTCCCCACCACTGTCTTCCACACAGGGCTCAGGCTGGCTGCCCGAGCCGCGTGCCCTTTCACTGCTCGGCTGCTGCTCCTGCTGTTTCCTCCTACTAGAAGACTCTCACTCGCTACCAGGCCAGATTAGTCATTAATCTAACATTTACCAAGCACCCTACCACAGTGCAAGGCACTGAAAGATAACACAAGTGTTTTCAAAACTATAAGGTGCTGTACTAATATAAGGAATTATCTTGGCCCCATAAGGAGTCTGGATTTTACAAGACAATTAACAGGATTCTACTGAAGGTTTTTCAAGAACGGAATGAAGTATAAGCAAGGCTATGATTAGCGAGACAAGAACATGTTTGTAGAAAGAGGCAAAGAAGCCAGTGAAAAAGGAAAAGCAACAAGGCAAGTGAGAGTAAATGACTAAATGCTTGTTCCATAACAGGCAGACGACAGGACAGATACAGGGCAACTGTGGAAAAGCAGGATTGGCTCTTCCTCAGAGGCAAGGGAAGACAAAGAGTGATGGCTATTCAGAGATACTTTACCTAGAAAGGAATCAAGGTGGAGAGAACTCCCCCAGAGGCCTTCGTCTTCTCCATGATCTAGAAGGGAGAGTCACCTGTGCAGTAAAAAATTTAACCTTGCCCAAAAGGAGGTCTGTCTGTTGTCCTCAGCTGACAATGAGATTTTCAGTGGTGGCTGGCCACGCAAGAAAGACTAACAATTCAACGTGGGGTGGGGCCTGGGGTCCTGCAGTATCAGCTGACCTGGAAACTGAGATCAACCATGTCAGCAATCAATCAATCACAGATGAAACCCCAATTAAGACTCTGAATACCAAGGTCCACAGGGACTTCCCTGGTTTGCGATACCCTCTGCAAACTGCCTCATATCAATGCCAGGAAAGTAACGTATTCTGACCCCATGGAGAAAGGACAACAGAAGTCCCACCTCTGATACTTTCCTGGACTCTGCCCTGTAAGCCTTACCTTGGCTGAGTTTAGTCTGTATTCTTTCCCTGTGATGACAGCTTTCAGTGAACTCTGTGAGTCCTTCCAGCTAATAGTCACATAAACCCAAAACGTTGCTTCAAGAAAATTACCCGGTAGAGCTGTTCGGCATGGATCAGAGCAGGGAAGTTCTGGAATCATTAGGAAAACTACTTCTCAACTTATCCCACACATTACTTTTGTATGTGAACTTACTCCTAGTCCCATTTCCACAAATTAACAAAGATTATATTTATATCACCAAAGAGTCCAAGCCTGCAGTTAACAGTTTAGTAAGAATGTAAAAGTATGTCCATACTTTTGACTAAGTCAAGACTGTTTTTATATAAAGCTCCAGCCATTCTATTCACGCTGATACCATCACGTGCCACAGAATGACATTTCCGTTAACAACAAGCTGCAGGCAGGACCGTCGTCTCAGACCAGAGTTGAGCTGCAGAAGTACAACTGCCTAGTCACGTCATAGCGCGACGTTTATCACATTTGTGGCGATGCCGGTCATATTAAAGTACTGCACATACAAACATGCACAGTACGTAATACTTGATATTTGACAATAAATAAATTTACTATATATACTTTTAATCATTAGAGTACAGCTTCCACTTATAAAACAGTATGCCACATCACAGCGGCGGCAGCCTCACACATCTTGTTTGCCGTCTCTTGGCTGCCTCGTTTTCTCTTGTGCTCGCTCCTGTCAGGTCTGCAGCCCAGGAGCACCGTCTCTGCCATGTGGTCTGGGTGTGCAGTACAACATGCCGTCTAGGTTTGTGTAAGTGCACTCTACAGTGTTCACACCCAGCATAATCGCCTAATGCTGCCTAGCTCAGAGTATATCCCTGTTATTAAGTGGTACCTATCTGCACCATGAGAAGAGGATTTCTAGATGGGGATTTCTGCTTTTACAGTGCACGGATGAGCATGGCTGCGGCTGCCAAGTTCCAGGCCCTGAGTCTTTGGTAACAGAATACTTCTGTATACATTTTACCCACTTCGCCTTCATGGGAGGCATCTGCATCGAGTTCTAATTGTTGTTTTATGAATTCTTTAGGAAATTACCTTTTCAGATGGTCTTATTCTCCTCCCTCTCTCAACTCAAAAGTCAATGTGAACCCTAGCCAGTGTGCCTCAGTTGCTCAGATCATCGTCCCATAGACCGAAAGTTTAAGGGTTCAATTCCTGGTCAGGGCACATGCCCAGGTTGTGGGTTAGATCGCAGGTTGGGGCCACGGTGTGTATGAGAAGGCAACCAATCAATGTTTCTTTCTTCCCTTCTCTCTCTCTATCTTCCCCCTTCCTCCATCTCTAAAAGCAATGAAAAAAAAATGTCCTTGGATGAGGATTTTTAAAAAAGTCTACGTGAACCTACTAGCCTACCTCCAAAAAGTTTGCAATCCAAATAACTTCAATAAATCTAACCCTTCTATTTTCCATAACATTCAAGAAATGCAATTTATCATTTGTATTCCATTCCCTTTTTCAAACATCCCAATAGCTGTTCACTTTGACCAAGTTGTAACTTCCTAATAAACAAACTTAACAAGGTACTTTTTAAAAGATGACTTTAGCCCTGACCAATAGGGCTCAGTTGGTTGGGTGTTGTCCCACAAAACGAAAGGTCGCCAGTTCAATTTCCAGTTAGGGCACATGCCTGGGTTGCTGGTTCAGTCCTTGGCTGGGGCATGTACAAGAGAAAACCAACTGATGTCTCTCTCCCACTTCGATGTTTCTCTCCCTTTCTCCCTCCCTTCCCCCTCTCTCTAAAACACAATAAATAAATAAGTAAATAAATATTTAAAAGATGACTTTAGAAAAGTTGTAAGACAATATGAAAAAATTAAATTCCTCATTTGTGAGGCAAAGAGTTTAGGAAGAAAAGTAAGTTGAACTAGATTTCTAGACCACCTGAGACAGTGAGAGTGAAACAGACAAATACATGTGCATGAAGCACAAGCACTAAGCAGAATGCAAATATAACAGTGTAGCATCGGTTTGGAAAGCACTGTGGGCAACCTAGACAGCAAAAGAAGCTGCAAGGCAGCTGTATCAGCAGTTCTTCTCACACTCCAATTTAACTACCATAATAAACTGGTTGCCCTTAAACCAGTAAGTGTATCCAGCCAAGAGCAAAAAGAGACTCAGTTCCAGCAGTAATAACTCCTCAAGAGAGATGAGTCTTGGCTGCACTAAGAAAAGATGCAGGAATTGCCCTAAGGCTGACCTGATCGTCCCCGATTCCCTGTCAGGAACCAACCCCTCTCCCCCAAAGATCATTGACAGTGGAAGAAAAGATAATAAGAAAGATGTGCAAAGAATGAGAGAGAGAAGTTACAAACTGAAAAGGGAGGGAAGAACAAGGGCATTCAAGAAGTCAAGCACGATGTGGGAGAAAGCCCATTGTAATATACGCCTATAAACAACTCTTTACAGCTTACAGAAGGGTTTACAGCCATTCTCTCCTCTAGCCCTAACAACAACCGGTTATTAGAGGAGAAAACTGTGGCTCGAGAGCTGACTGTCACGCCCAAGGTCAGGCAAAAAGCTGGGGCTGCATTTAGGGCCCTATCCCGAAAGATCAACTAAGGAGTGAGACGGAGATGCCTGGAGAAGCCAAGTGCAAGCACAGAAGTGCCCTGAGGAATTCAGGAATGCTGCAGATCACAGCGGGGTGGAGGACAGGGAGCAGGGGGTAGAGAGTGGCCGGGAGACCTGGGCGGGAACAACCGAACCGGCCCGGCCCGGCCTAGCCCGCTGCACTCACCCGAGGCCCGGGCGGGGTCGCCCAGCGCTGCGGCTCCTCCTGGCCTGCGGCGGCGGCGGCGGCGGCGACTGCAAGGGCCGAAGCAGGGACGCATCATGCGGCCGCGCTCATGGCCGGGCCGGAGCAGGCCGCGTGCCTCGGCTCGGGTCGCTCCCACCGGGCTAATCGGAGGGAGGTGGCCGCCGAGCACACACCGGAGCTCAGAACCCTGCCCGGAGAGCCGGGCTGTGCGGCCCCCGGAAGTGAACCCCGAGGGGGTCAGCGGTGTCGCGCTTGCGCAGTTCCGGCTGTCCCCGCTCCTGATCGCAGAGAGGGGTGCGTGAGGCACTTTCCGGGACTTGGTGGCCAGGGTCCTTCTGGAACAGAGGCTTTTAAGGATAGTCAGTTCCTAGAGGAAGGTAGCTTCTAGTCACAAGCTCCCCTCTCTAAAGTAAAGGATCCCTTCAAAATGAGATCCGGAAGGGAAAGGATTGGGGTTACGGGCTGGCGCAAGGTCCAAGCCACGCGTGAGGCTGTCACACTAGGTCCGGAGTTCTTGCTGAGGTGATTCGAGCCCGTGGCGACCTCTCAAAGAATGGTCAGCTTTAGGTGTGGCCTGTGTGGCATGCGAGAATGAGAACTCAGAAACGGGGAAATGGAAACGAGAGTGAAAAAACGGAGGCAGAAGCACGTGGGGAAAAGGGGAAGCGCACTGGCCTGGGGGTCGGAGGCCTGATTCCTGGGGTCTGCTGAGGCTCCCGTCTCCCTCTGCGAGGGACCTGGACACCAGAGCATCCCAACGATTCCTCCCAGATGATGAGTCCTAAATTTTTTTAAGGTAGACACGTTTCTTATTTGGGTTTCCTATAATATTTGGGACAATTGCCGCAGGGCTGGGAAGTAGTGCTCAGTGTTTGTTGCAAACTGGTGAGTCCTCACTAAATTGTAAGGTTGAGAAAAGCAGCGATTACAGCTGAGGAATCAGAATCCCACTGTCTGCAAGCCGCTTTCTCACTCCTCACCGATCTTGTCCCCAGAAACTCTTATTCCAGACAAACTTTTGGAAGTAAGGGGTGCATTAAATCAATCACCAAAATTCCAGCTTTAAAAGTTTAAAACTGTGTTACTAGGTCTTGCATCTCTGTATTCAGAGTGGCGCTAGGCATCCAGCCACCCCTCACTGAGCCTCCTGTTGCCTGGCACGTTTGTTTCCACCAGGAAGGAAAGTGAAGTTGGCCTCCATCAGCGGTCAATTGTTTTCACACAGGCTGGAAGGGCGGTTATCATTGGTAACACTCAGACCTTACTAGAGATATACCTGCGGCAAGCAATGTTAAAAGAATACATTTTTTTAAGTTTAAATCATGACTTTCATACAAGTATAAACACATGTAAAAGGTTTAATTTAACTCACTAACTAATGAAGAAGTATGCAAGATGATACAAATGGTTGAGAGATGAATCCAAAAGGCAGACACATTCGTGGGCCGTTGGGAACGCTGAGATGAATTTGCTTACTGGGTGCAAAACTGGCTCCTTCTACAGTGGGGGCGGGAGGTCAGTTGAACGTCTGCCCTTGTATGTCTGTTATCTGTGGGCGAGAATCACTTGCATTGCTGTCGGTTCTCGACACCCTATACAGTTATAGATAGAAAGGAAAAACCTCATGGAGACAGATACCCCAGAAGGCTCTTCCAGATAATACCTGAAGACACCCAATAATCTTTTTGACTCATTTCAAAGTCTTTCAGAAGTCCCCAAAAAATAAAGAAGGGGGGTCCATACCCCATAATTCTCCTGAGTCCCCGCACTTGTTATGTTGCTTGTGTTTTTAATCACTAGTACACCTTGTTTACTGTAACTTGAAAATTGCACCCTTGCTAAAGAAAATAACAACACAATAAAAATCACTCATTAAAATATTTAACAAGGATGGCAACAGTTGTCAAAAAACAATTGAACTCTTATCAAAGGTTTTTATCTCTTTCTCAGCAGTGGTCTTTCTGCAAGTCATTTCCCCTCTCCAAGCCTCAGCTTTTTCTTTTCTTTTTTTAAAATCTCTAAAATATGAGATTAGACTTGATTTCTAAGTTTCTTCCTGTTTTAAGATGGTGTTTCAACACAGAGTGTTGTGCCTCTCTTTGATTTTACTGAGGTCCTGGAAGAAGAAAAGCTCCTAAAATTGGAGATCTTTGCAGGGAAGGGAACATCCCATTCTCCAGTTTGGTTCTATTTTCCCCTCAGGAGCTAGTTTCCAGCTAACCAGTCATCCCAGGAAAAAGCCCTTTTTAAAGTGGAGGCTCGGCTTATAAGACTGGAGGCCATAACCTTCAGTTCTTTTTCCATCTTGCAAGATGGTGGTGTAAAAACTGAGAAGCCAGATGCTAAGGAGAAGAAATCTGAAGCCATGAAGCTGATGCTGATGGCCAGGTTAAGAAGGGTAACCTCAAGGCCAAGACTCCTAAGAAGGGTAGGCGCCACTGCAGTCAAAACCCTGTCCTCGTCAGAGGAATTGGCAGGTATTCCCGGTCAGCTGTGTATTCCCAAAAGGCATGTACAAAAGGAAGTATTCAACAGCTAAATCCAGGATTGAAAAGAAAAAGGAAAAAGTTATGGCCACTGCCACAAAACTAGTTGGTGGCAACACAAATGGTGGTACCCGAGTGGTTCAACTTCCCAAAATGCCTAGATACTGTCCTACTGAAGACGTGCCTCAAAAGCTGTTGGGCCATGGCAGGAAGCCCTTCAGTCAGCCCGTGAGAAACTGCGGTCCAGCATCACTCCCGGGACCATTCTGATCATCCTCACTGGGCACCAGAGAGGCAAGAGGGTGGTCCTCCTGAAGCAGCTGAGCAGTGGCTTGCTGCTTGCAACTGGACCTCTGGCCCTTCATCGAGTTCCTCTTCGCAGAACACACCAGAAATTTGCCATTGCTGCCTCCACCAAAATTGGTATCAGTGGTGTGAAAATCCCCAAAGATCTCACCGATGCTTACTTCAAGAAGCAGCAGCTGCACAAGCCCAGACACCAGGAGGGGGAGATCTTTGACACCAAGAAGGAGAAATGAGATCACAGAGCAACGCAAGGTCAATCAGAAAGCCATGGATTCGCAAATTCTGCCAAAAATCAAAGCTGTTCCTGAGCTCCAGGACTACCTCCTCCCTGTTTGCTCTCACAAATGGACTTTATCCTCACAAAGTGAAGTTCTAAATTTCTTTCAAGAAACCTAATTAAATAAATGATCTGTTAAAAAAATAAAGTGGAGGCTCTATTCAAATATGTGAAAAGATGTTCAACTCTAATTCAAAGTAAAAAGAGATCCTGTTTATAATTTGGTAGATTAGCGAAATAAAAGTTTGGTATACTCTGTGTTGGTAAGGCAGACCAAATTGGTGCAATTGGAAATTCGTTCAGCTCTTTACAGAGCAAGATAGCAAAATGAATCACAAACACTTAAGTGTATATACCCTTTGACCCAGAAATTCCTCTCTTTGGAATTTATCTTGCAGATATACTCACCCATGTGCACAAAGATGTTTGCACTTGAGTATTTATAGTACCATTTTTTTAGAAGCAAAAAACGCATCAGCCTATATGCCATCAATACCTTAAATAAACTATGTTGTGCATAAAGGGAATGCTGTGCTGTGCAATTATAAAAAGGGAACGAGCCCTAGCCGGTATGGCTTAGTTGGTTGGAGTGTCGTCATGTAAACAAGGGCTGAGGGTTTAATTCCCATCAGGGCACATGCCTAGGTTGCAGGTTCAGTCCCTGGATGGTGCTGCATATGGGAGGCAACCGATCAATGTTTCTCTCCCTCTCTCTAAAATCAATGAGCATGTCCTCAGCTGAGGATTAAAAAAGAGAGAGAGAGAATGAGGCATATTTTTATGTGTTAATATGGATGGTCTTCCAGGTGCATTAAGTCTATTGTATGAAACTGCATTTGCGTAAAAAAAAGAGCAGAGGATATATATTTTGATGTACATAGACTATTTCTGGAAAAATATACAAGAGGCAGGTGTGTAACTTATTTTTAGCCATTTATTCATTTTAAATACACAAAAATGTAATTAAAATTAAATGAGACAACCCAATAAAACAATTGGCAGAACACTGGGACCAGTACTTCACAAAAGAGACTTTCCAAAACTGTTCATTTTCATTAGTTATCAGGGAAATACAAACTTAAACCACAATGGAATAATGTTTATACATCAAACATGAAAGCCCCCAAGTGTTGGCAAGCACTGGAGTGGCTAGAAGTTCATACACTGCTGGTGGGCATGACACTCGGGCTGTCTTGGGCAACTGTTAGGAGTATTGCTGAGGCTGAGCATACGGTACCTACGTTCACCAAGAGACATGCACCAGAATGTTCACACGGAATACCCACAATAGCCCTAAACTGGAAACAGCCTGAAGTCAATGAGCAACAGAATGAATAAATACATTGTGGTGTATACAGTATACAGTAAAATGCCATACAGAATAAAAGTATATATTACACACACCAGTACAGAGCGATCTCACTAATATATTGAGCAAAGAGTGCATATTATCTGATCTCATTAAAAAGTGCAAAGCCAGGCAAAACTGATATTAGGCTTAGAAGACAGGGCAGGGCAGTGTTTACCATCAAGGGGGGATGGTAGGGTGCTAGTAATATTCTATTTCTTGATATGGCTGCTGGTTGTATGGGTGCTCATTTGGTAAAATTTCACCCAGCCATGTACACTTACCATTTGTTTGCTCTACTTCAAGTACACAGTGGGAGGGAGACAGAAGACAGATAGACAAAAGTACAGAAGGTTGTTCCAGAAGGACGCTTTGGGTTGGTTCTTATTTTTTCCACTGTTTGTAGCGTTGGATGCAACAGCCGGGCTAGGGAAGCCAGAAGGCTGGAACTCCACAACCTGTGGTGTTAGACAAGGCCCAGAAAGTGGTATGATGTGCTCCTAAATTCCTTTTCATTGGGCCACTGGGTCTCGAGCTGTGGGTAGGGCCTGCAGGGGCTCCAGCCTGTGCTGGCAGGGGGGTATATGGCTAGTGGACAGGTATGAAGCAATTACTGAGTGCAGGCTCTGGGACACTCTGTGTCCCCTGGATAGCCCAAGCTCGCTCTCTTATGCCCTTTGGGACTTGATTTGGAAGGCATCTTCTCCCTGGATCCCCATCTAAAATTTCTCCCTCCCTTCCATTTCTGTAGCATTTCACTTCCCCCTCCCAGCTTTGCTCCTTGTCACATCTCAG